AGCGAAATTCAGCTCCTACAACCCTTCAAAACCGCGCGGTTAAACCAGGCTGGGGGGAAGAACAAATTATGTCATAGCTGTGGTGTTACTGCAACACTCGCCACGAAGAATCACAAAGCCATACAAAGCCTTATACAGCCTTTTACGAGACCAAGAAGTCGAAGTCGCGTGCTCTCTCAAACCCCCTCCAGAAGTTGCGTGGCCCGGCCCCGGTGGCCCGGTCCCGGTGGCGGTGGCCCGGTCCGGGTGGCCCGGTCCCGGTGGCCTGGTCCCGGTGGCCCGGTCCCGGTCCCGCTTTAAGGGCGTGTGCCCGCGGGCCCGCGCGAAAAAAGACCTATTCTGGCCTGTGGACAGGCCTTGATCAGGTGATTCAAACAATTGACATCAAAACATTGGACTGGAACTCGTTCCGGAAACAATGCCAATAAAGTGGCATGAAGTTGGCATGGACGATGAAAAGTCAACCAGGCTGTTCACGATGCAAACCATTCAATGGAGTTCACATGAAGTTGAAAACCCACGGCAGCCGCTTTGGACGGATCTAGTGAAATCTCCTGGGCTGTAAATTGTCGGAGACCAAAATCTTCGAAGAGTGAACGGTCTGCAAGCTAGCAAGATCTGGCACGGGCTCCAAGGAGCTATGAGAGGTTGGGCTAAGTCACGCCAAGCCGTGTGAAGTCCCGCCTCCCCATGCTCACGTGAACCGCTAAGTCACGCAAGCCGCATAAAGTCACGCAACGAACTTTTGGCCACAGCGAATGCTTTGGCATGTGAGCTGTAAGTTGTGTGCGGAACACCCCCCCTGCAGGGTATTACCATTTCCCTGGGCATGTGATGTAAACGACAACTCACATAAGCGCGCATGTGTTCGGGGCCTATGTATACGCTGTGATTGCGCAAGAGCATGTCCGTGTGAAAAGCACTGAAGCCAGTATGAACTCCCAGCAAATCACAGAGAGAGAGAGAGAGATAGAGACATATATATATATATAATGAATAATATATATATATATACAGCTCTACTGAAGCGGTTTGTAATATGGAGATGTCCGTCGACTGTATATGATAGGCGGTTTGGAGGGATGCGGGAACGGTAACGGTGGCCCGCAATGTATGGGCATATTTATGATGAAACGGGAAAAGCCGAGGGGGAAATTACTGCAAAGATATGTCATTGTTAGGGAAGTCTATCTGACCACTTCAAGGACTCAAGAAGAGGCCCTAGCAGTGCCATAGGAGCAGCAGCAACGATTCTGGAGGCAACCTGCATTTGACACCTTCATTTGTCTTGACTACCTTGCTGCACATGATACAATCGCGTTGAGCTTCTACATGCGTAAAAATGCGGACCCCGCATTGTTTCATTCTATTATGCACAAAATACAAAAACACCAAGTCAAGGCTGGAGTTGAAGCATAAGATGCCAGGATTTATTGCAGGATCATCCGTGGCAGCATCTTATCTCGTATGTAAAATTAAAATTGGTTTTACAAATAACCATATTACTGTAGTAGCCAGTCCCTGATGGACGTTTACAGGCAAAGCTTCCTGCTTGAAGCGCAAACCAGCACTTGGAAAAACAGCTAAAACCACATCATTTACGCGCAAAACAGGCCACCCTCGATGGGAATGAACCGATAGCTCGAGAAGAAGGCATTTTTACAAAACTCTCAAACCCGCCTACCAGACCTTTTCCATGCCGCCAAGTCCCTAAATCTCCGACCCACATTCTGAGCTAGGCTGTTGCCTGATAGAAATGGCTCAGCCTCTTGAGGATTGGCCACAGTGCAATTTGAAAAAATGCGCAAGATTTGGTGAAGGCCTAGAACATTCAGAGCCCTGTAGAAAGCATTGTATATCCTATGATTTCTTGGGACTTCTCGGGGCTACCTGTTCTTTTGAACGACAGCTTACACGACATTGATCTGGAGAATGATAATCCTGTGATTTGCTACGAACGAAGCTTGAGGCCAGTCGCTAAGGCAATAGAAGCAGCTGGCCTGCACGGGATTGGTTATTGCTTTGCTTGCGGTGATACTATTTCCTATGAATTCTTGGGATTTCTCGGGGCTACCTATGATTTTGAAGGAGGTCTTACTGAAGGTAGACATGGATGGTGCTATCCTATAATTTGTTCTGTCCTCTCCAAGCTCGCGTGCCTGACCGAAAAAGTAGCCGCAGCTAGAAGCTGCTAGCAGCGGCCCAGAGGCTGGTTCCCGTGGCGTATGAGGAGTCATGGGTACATGCAAGCATGGACATTGCTGGGATTCTTTCTTTGTTTGTTCTGGAGTTGTGTTACTGACAGATGTTCCCGGCTCCTGGTCTCGACTCACGGCCTTCTGTTCCTGACTCCGTCTCTGGTCTTTTCTCGACTCGTGCCGTCTCCAGGCCCGATTGTTCAGCGCCTTGCAAACTCTTGGCATCTTGACAGATGGAAGGTTTGCAATCCCTAGCCCCAGAAATCTTGATCAGTGCATTCGGGGAGGTCCCTAACAGACTATACTCTGGATAATTCTCGGCGGACCGTAAGTTGGCTCATTTCATGGTGCTGCGCGAGGTCCGCGCAAAGCTTGCTTCTTTTTCAAGCGGAGCACGCTGCTGGAGGTTGAAAGCCTCACCCGGTTCAGAAGGAACACCCCCTCGCAAGAATGCTGCTACAGCCATGCTTTGAAATCTCCATCGCCAAGCACATGCGCTTGCAAGTTACAAAAAGCAAAATATTCAAAAGAATGACGTTGGCCTTAGATGGTAATCCCCAAGTCCACGCGCTTGCAGAATGGCTCCATACAACCCAGAATGACTGAATCACGCTACCTACAGTAGCATGCGGCTACGCCGACCGTAGCATTTCTCAAGCTCCTTCGCCAGCAAAGTTTTGTTCACGGCATAGCTTCATTGGCTTCAATTCAATTCCCCAGTGCGTTGCACAGGGGATCCTGAAGAGCTAGCGAATCTGCATGCCCATGTCCCTGTGTTTTCGCCGAACGATAAGAACTTCCGTAGCGACGATGACGAGCACTTTTGGAACATAAGAGTTCAAAACAGCTTACAAACTGGAATGTGTGGCGGTAGTCGTCATGAAAGCCTGCGTCGGCATCGCTGCAGCTCTCAGACTAGCCTCTGCTTCAGAGGAACTACCAGTGACAATGGTAACTCCGCTAATCAGACTCCACGAGCGGTTTCGGACTGGAACAGCTCTTGCGAGGTGCTACTTTCCTCTGCAAAGATAAAGGTTTCTTCAACGATTCAATGATGTTATATCTCTCCCCGGATGCCTTTCGTTTCAGCACCTCTGTTCTCTCCGACTGACGCTGAAATGCCGCAACCTGCAGACATACATGGTTGAAGGAATTTGTGGGTCGAGCTGCATGAAAACCACTGGGATGCAACGTGATGCAACCTGATGCAACCAATGGGCCTCTGCATGCATCGCAAATTTGGCTGACATCAGCGGGTCGGCTATATGCGGAACCTGCACAGGCAATTTGAGCAGCTGAATTGAAGCTAGCTTTCTGCCTTGAACAGATTGGCAGGCTGTGCATCAGGATGCCCACCTCACTTGTGTCACTCTCCGGAATGTCCTGACAAGTTGGAGACCTCAGGCGTACGGACATGAATACATGCGAACAGCTCCAACGATGCCGGGGAAACGTGAGCTGCCAACGGAACATCGGCGAAGCCCATTTCCAGCTGATTGCCCATCTCATGCTGCCCTGATGTGACAACTCCAGGACGCAAATGCCCGTCGTGGCTTTCAAGATGCCTAAATATGCCCCGAAGTCAAAATCCAATCTGCTTGCGGACATTGCAGACAGCAAACAAACAGCCAAGGGTCCTGAAAGCTCTCGCACTGTTTATGCCGGGTCAGCGCCGACACCCGTGATTGAGATCTCATGCTGACTTGTTGAACCATGGCAAGGATGGCAAAAGGACATTATGAGACTGCGCCCTGCCAATTTCTGAACAACCCCCGCTCTCCTGTAAGGAAGAGTACAAGGAATGAATGCTTGCCTTTAGACAGAGGATACATACTCCGGCATTAGGGAAGTATTCTTGCTTCTTGCCTGCATCCAAAGAGGACTAAGCAGGTCCTGTTGAAGCTGCTACTTACCGAGTTCACCAAGTAACGAAGGCAAAAAAAGTCAATGGCAGAGCCCAGCCTTCGTCAGCTCCTGGTCCGTCCTCACAGTGTAAGTCTGGCGCCAGTGTGCTGATCAAAAAGCGTCTGCTAACACTAGATGACAGCGCTGAGAAAGTATACCTGAGAAGGTTAAGGCCACGCTTTGCGGGATGGCTGGATGGCTTCATCAGCTATATCGCAGCCGCTTAGCAGCCATCTAGTTTCAGACAGAGTCCTGCTCTGCAAGGCTCTGCCGCAGCTTGTCTTCGATACTGATCAACACCTGTGAGGAGCCGCAGTTGTCCACTCCTTTATCGAGCACTCGGATGCCAAGAGCTGCCTGATCAGCTGCTTGGGGTGCCCAGACTCCCAACCTGCAATATCACAGGCGTCGCTTTCATAACTTCCATTGATGATATTGCAACATGACCACGTTAACCGTCGCAAACAGGAGGTACGTGATCCAGGGAGAAAATGCACTAGTGGTGCGGCGTGCGGATGGCAAGAGCACACCTCCCCCGCAGCTCGAGTGCTAGTGCTCGCACTGCAGTGGCCAGCTCGACCTCTGTCTCAGCTGATAACAAAACCCAAAGAATCTGACAGAGCCCGCCTGGCAGAGCCCTTGGATTAGCACTTTGCTTCTCACATCATCCAAGCATACCTGCATATCCACAACTCAAAAGAACAAAACAGCCACAGAGGACACGTGATCCAAACACACTTGCAAACATCAAGGGTCACTGTTCGTCGGATGCTGTGCCGCCGCTCGGACATCACCGTGTACACATGTCAAATCAAGTACTATGATGTGCTATTTCTGTCTCATGCTACATACGAGGGCAGATGGATCTGATGCATTCTTGAAAGGTCAAGGCGTGCTCTACTAACCCCTTTTATGCAAGAGCTTGGAAAAGCTTGGCATGGCGGATACTAAGACTGCTGACAAGCCGGAATGCGAGGAAAACCTGGTCACATATCGAAAGCTGAGGTTCTGGGTCACAACATCCTCTTCATCAAGCCGGCAGTGGCACGGATCATATGCCCTGTACCTATATTAGCCTTCGAGTCAAACGTAGCATTATTCAACACAAGCTGCTGTTCTGCTGCCAAGATTGCTCCAAAACGTTGCCAAGATATGCGCAGCTGAGGCCCCTCACCCGATGTCAGATGGCCGGTTGGTTGTAAGGATGCGGATGTCATCCCCGAGAAGGGCCCAGAACGTCAGGCACACTGAAATCAGCGTCATGTAGGGGCCGTCCATCTGGCATGATAATCTCGACTCTGAACAGACTGCAGGCTATCTGGCCACTTCTTCACTATTAGTCACGTCAAGTTGCTGGTTGTAAGCTCAACACTACACAGGAAGCCGCAAAAATTGTCTGTCTTTTGCATTCGCAGCCTTGATCTTCATCACCCACTTAATCCCGAGCTCCTACGGTAGATTCTGCGTAGACCCCAAAGCCTGCAGGGGTCTTTCTACAAGCGCCCAAACTTGAAAGACATAGACTTATACCATGAAATCCGCAACACCTTAGCCTGATACCCAATACCAAGGACTGACAAATCAGCTTAAACTGCCTAAACTTGTTGGCGACAGACCCCTGAATCTCTTGATCCTAAACCCTGCAGCCGTACAAGTCTGGGTTAAGGGTGTAACGGGGACCGGCCAGGGGCATAACGGGAACTATGTGACGGGAACCGAAATGGGCGTAGCGGGAACCTGGGGCGGGGGTAACGGGAACCGCTGGGGGGTGGAACAGAAATCGGCGGTCACTCTATTTTCAAAATTGACGTATAACCATGACCTGTTGTATCTCTTGTAATCCCAATATAAATCTCCCAGCAGCGCCTCCTACACCCTTGCACTTTCTAAGCCCTGCATAATCCTGCTCATTGCTGACTCCCATAGATTCCCATAATCATAATCCCTTTAAGCTCTCAACAATCCACGCGTCAACACCCTGTAATCTGAGAAGCAAAAACATGGGCTCTCTTGTCTTGCGCTGTGAACCCAATATTGCATGACAAGGCTTCCAGGCAACTGAGTGTCCAGTTGCCTTCACACTACCAGCAGATGTGCTGTCCGATTTGGTTCTGATTTGTTGGACTCGTCCTGAACCCTGGTCACATGTTGTTTTTGGACCAACCGACCTGATGCCTGAGGCTGCTTGATTGCCACATCTGCCATGTTCGAATGCCCTGTGCACCAAGTGACGAATTCTACGTTATCTCATCTTACAGCACTTCAGTCCGGCCTTGAATCGTGTTTTCCAACATATTAGCATCGAAACACAAAAACGATGATCTCGTTATTTATTTGCTGGGGACCATCTGTTTTACAGACTAGACTGATTTCCACGACTTCTCACCCACGCTACATATGTTTCCAAAGACAAAACTTCAATCCGTCTTTCACATAAAAAACTACATTGCATCTGGTGATTTCCTCTATCCACGTGCAAAAGCGGCACCTTGTATAGCCAAAACCGAAATCTGACACAACCAAAGCCCCAGCCTCCTCTATACTTTAGTCATTTTCCCAGATGCCTCCCCGGTTGGTTCCAGTTATGGACCCCGGTTGTTTTCTGTTATAAAGTTTCTGTTACAGCCCCCTGGTTCCTGCTACGGCGTTTACCGGTAAAAGTCTGGGCTTCAAAGTTCGACTGCAGAGTTTAGTTGGTAGATCTACCGTCAAAATAGATGGGGGGTTCCCAAAATTAGGGTCCCCGTTTGGTACCCCTAAATATTAGGCGCCGCAATTTTAATGTATATCCAAAAGGGCCCATAATTTTGAGAACAACCCAAATCTTAGCTGATCGAAAACTCTGACGCGCAGACGGCCAAGTCTCGGCCAAGTCCGAAACACCAACCTGAAGCCGTGGGTCCTGGAATCCACCACCCTCATCCTCGCCATACAAAAAACAGCAGCTGCAAGCACCAGGCCACACCATCCACACCGAGCCCATGGATCCCTCTTTCAAATGCAACCATTTGATATGAGCCTATTCATATGTCTTCAACCTTCAAAACTCTGTCCTGGTCTCATATCTGTTGGAAGTCAGGGATTCAGTGACAGAGGCAACGCACACTCTGCGACGGGAAGCGTGCACGCGCAGTCTGCAGTTCAAGCTAGAGATTTCCCGAAAGCACTTTGAAGGGAAAGAAAATACGAAAACAGAAGTGGATATAGGACTGCAAAGCTCAGGCGACGCGCATTAGAAACGTTGAGAAACTTGTCGATTCCCATGCAAAATTCCGAGGACGCTCCACGCGACAGCGCTACGACCTGTCGCGAACACTGAAACGATTGGCGATCGCGGCACCAATTGGGAGGGCGCTCCACGCGCCACCGTCACAACGCTGAGACGGTTCTCGATCCAGGCTCAAGTTCCGAGGACACTCCACGGACGCGCCGCAAACACTGAGAAGCTTGTCGACTCCAGAAACAGAACCGAGGGCGCTCCAGAGGGCAACGTCACGACGCGCCCGGAATTGAGAGCCCCAGGTCGGGACGAAAGATCAAGAATGGACAGGAGTGGTGACACAGAATGTAAAGAGACAGACGATATACAACCAGAAGAGCACGCCGCACGCAGCCCAGCCCTCACTGCCCATGAAAAGAACTGTCACCCTCCTACCGAAACCTTCCTAAAAAAGACCCTGCAAGATCCCTCCAAGACCCCCTGGGTTCCCCCAAGATCCCCCCAACATCCCTCAAGATTCCCTCAAAATCCCCCCAAGATCACCCCAAGATCCCCAAGATCCCCCAAGATCACTCCAAGATCCCCGCAAGAATCAGACCAAAAAGGCCCAGGGTAGCTCAAACCCCCCCCCCTTCCCCCCGTCCCCCCGTAGAACCCCAGGCTCACGTTTTGACGTACGAAACGAAGCTCCCTTCCGGGGATTTCGTGACTGAGAGGGTCAACGATGATGGCCAAAATTCTGGGGACCCTCCACGCGCAAGCGTCACGACCCTTTCAGAACACTGACAAGTTTGTCGGTTCCCATACAAAATTCCGAGGACGCTCCAAGCGCCAGTGTCACGACACGGCGGGAACATCGAGAGCGTTGTCGATCGCGGCCAAGATTCCGAGGACCCGGCTCCTGCCAGCCCTGTCACGTGCTTTAAAACGTTTATTTAGTGCCACAACCTCACGGCTTGGGAAAGCCATGCGAAAAACCCACATCAGAGCTATCATGGCTATCCTCACGACAATCTCACGGCAATGTGAAGTGCCGGGGGCTCCATTCTGCTACGTCTAAGTCTTTGCCCAAACTCCCGTTACAAGGAATGGGCAGCCAGTCATTGCCCTGAGCTCTGTTGCTCACATTGTGTCACTTTCCTTTTCTGATCCTGCAGCTGCTTTGTGATCTCACAATGTGGTTCTGCATTTTCTGGCAACAGCGGCGGCATTCGTAACAGATGTGGCCTTCCCGGGATCTTGGTGCGACTTCCGTTTGTTTCTAGGTTTGTCATCATTGACTGTTTCTCCTCAAAGTTTGTCAGCTGTTTCTGACTTTGCTTCGCAGGGGAGCTGGACATCACGTGGAAGTGCTAGCCCAGTGAATAGGCTTCCATGTTGATGCTGAAATTCTGCGGAGACATCCTGAGAACCTGCAGCGATTTATCGTCTTTGCAACCCAGACTGCACCACCCGACAATGCACATGCATCAACAATGAACCTTGAGATTCCTTAGTCATCTTCAGTTGCTCTTCTTTTGTTTATGTACGTGGGAATTAATTGTTTCAGTTGATTTTTGAACATTACGGTATTTATCCAAAGGTTCGAGAATGTCAGTAACCTTGAAGAAGTGAAGAAAACCAAGAAGGATTATCGCTTCCCACTTGCTTGCTGCTCACCTCTGTGATGACGACAGTTTAGCAGCTTCCCTTATTCTGTTGGCTCACTGTGCCTTTTGCCAAACTGCTGTTGAACATTTACAAGCGTTTACAGGCGTTTTGCTGCTGCGAGAATCACTCTCTTCCCCCCCTGCTCTCTAGGAAAGGGCATTCCCGAAACAATGCAGGGATGACAAAATTGGCTACAGCCCGCCGAAATCGAGCCTGACAAGGCCCATGCAGTTGAGGATGCAGAGATGGGCTTGGCAGATGCACCTTCTGCTTCTTCTCTTCTGCTTCCTGTCTTCTCTTCGCCTTCTCTTCCTTGCACACAAGCATGTTTAGAATCGAGTTTTGACCAAGCTCCCGTTCTGGGCTCTGGGGGCTGGAACCAGCGTCTTTCGCAGGAGCTCCATGTTGACGTCCGTCGAAATTCTGCGCCTTGCAACTCTAAGGTGTGGTGACTTCCCATGTTGACCTCTCCGTGCCTCGACATGTTTGCAGGCGGAGGGCCTCAACATCCCAGGCTGATTGCGCAACAGCTGAACAATTTCTGAAAGTTGTGTACCCTCAGGTCTGTCAGGTCTCGGCTCAGATCCTCGGCTTCAGACTTCCTGGAGCAGGCGGACCGGCAGAACAACATCCAAGAAGCTTGACCCTTTAGAAGGGATCGCACCCGAAGTCATCAACATCAGAGCTCGAGGACGATGAAGAGTCGTCCTTGTCCTAGGAGCCATGCTTTGAGCGTTTGCTGTCAGAGAGACCATGCATGCTACTTCTTCTGAAGATGTACCGACCAGCCGACGGCACTATCATCCTGGATTTGTGTAAGTGGCTTCATAATCAATCCTCACTGTGTTGTCATTCGAGCGAACCTGCCACCGATGTAGAGACATCATGTGAAGTGTCCTCGCTGGTGTTGTCCACACCACCACTGTCCTGCAGTGTAATCACACGCTTTAAGCCTCCTCATACAACTTCATACCCCAAACGAAGGCTGCAGTCCTTTTGCTCTGCCATGTTTGCGATTGACAGACAGGCTCTACACGGGGTTTTGACCGTTTGCTGGTGTGGTTCAGTCACTTTTGACGTCTCCCCGGGCAGTACATCAGCTCTGTCGATGCTCAGAATACATACCGAGCAGGTTGAAGACGCTGTGCAAATGATTGGCACTTTCAGCAGGAAACTCGACTTGAGCCAGAATAGTCCAGTTGTGTTTGCCAACCTGACAGACACCTTTCCAGCCGTTGTGAGACGGCCATGTCCTGTTTGTGTCAGAATGGGTAGCCGCGCAGCAGAGAGCTTTGTCACTTCACAGCGTCAAGCAATTGAAGGGCAGCGCTATGTTAAGCACGGCGATGGAAACGTGCATACAGGAGCGACTGACAGCTGCAAACTGGCTGGCGGCAAGATCAGCGTCTCTGCGCCGGAACTTGCTCGAAGATAAATGCAGATGCTTTCTGATGCTAGCTTCGCTAGCCAGCGCAGCTTCATCCACAGCACAGAATGCAACCATATGTCCAACTCAAGCCTTCTTACTTGACAAATGATTAGTGGAATAGCAACAGAATCTTGTAGGCCTCCGCAAAAAGAGCTAGATGGCGGCAGCAGCTAGTGCAGTGCCTCAAATCCAGGCGTGGCGAGTCATTACGAAGAAGGCATGCATTTGAATTGAAAAAAGCTGTGCAGGTCGAAGCTCTGCTGCGATGCTGCTTTAGCTTCTCCGGATCTTATGGATGCGGCCTGTACCGAGGTACATCTAGCTAAATCTGGCAGACAATATTCAAACAGGAATAAGCTCATTCCGCCGTAAGAAGAAGCAGCTTGGCTTGGGAACGCGATCTACAAAAGCAAACCGCCCAAACCCCCCCCCCAAACCCGAAAATTATCCCTACCACAACTGGAACCACCATGCTGCAACCAGATGTTCCGTCCTAAAATTGACAAGCGGGCCGCATCACAACTGGTCACATCGGCAAACCGGTCCCAGCTGCAACCAGCACACAACATAATGAGGTTACCACAAGATGCTGGAAGTTTTCGTGACAACCCAGCCAATTTAATGTATTCTGGGGTGAGCTCTGCTCTTGGAGTGCTTTGCAGCGGTCTTGGAGAGCTCTCGACATTTTGAATGAGTGGTTGGAGAGCTCTGGACATTTTGAATGGGTGGTATTGGAGGGCTTTTTGTATGGTGATTCTGGTGCTCTTGATGGTGCTCTTGGAAGGGTGCTCTCGGACGGCTCTTGGAGGGGGTAGGGGGCTCCTGGAACGGTGCTCTTGGAGGTGTGGTCTTGAAGGGCTCTTGGAATGGGGCTCTTGGAGGGGTGCTATTGAAGGGGTGTTCTTGAAGGTGTGCTCTTGGAGGGGTGCTCTTGGACGGCTCTTGGAAGGGTGCTCTTGGAGGGAATGGTGCTCATAACCATACTATTTGGCTTGCAACCCTAAACTCCCTAAACCCTAAGGCCCTAAAACCTGAACCCTAAACCGGGCCATAGGACTTTGGGTGTTTCCTTGCCTACAATGAAATGTCTAAGTTCTTTCTGGTGCCTTATACCTTGAAACTTCTTGATAGTAATAGCTAAGTGTCATGATTTGGCCCCTTGTGGTTCCTTGTAGCCTCATCGTCGGGAATTGTCGTAGTTAAGTGTTCTGACTGGGTTCCTTGTACCTTGAATTTTGGGAATGCTCATAGCTAAGAATTCTCATATGGCCTTATCTGGTTCCTTTAACATAACCCTGTTTTATAAAGGTTCGAGGATGTTAATGCCATAGGTGGTCCACTTGAACTTCTTGGTATGTTGACCAACGATGGTCCGTACTACAACTCGGGGTTCCTTGAATTAAAACAATTTTCCTTCCCTGGGAATACAGCTCGGATCGTGAAATCTTGCTGTACATGAATCTAAGAGCTGGTTGTGATAGGGGGGTTTCGTGGTTTTCCTCAAGTCGACTTTTCGGCTGTGGGACCGACCGTCTAGTTGTGGTCTAGAGGTCTCGGTTGTAGTAGGGACTGGTCGCCCCAAACCCCCCCCCCAAACACCCCTCCTGCACCCCCAGCTGATTACGCCCTAGGGCAAAATATGTGACCAGTTCAAGTCAGAGGCGCTTGCGCATTGCCACGTTGCAGAGTGAGTTTACAGAGACGCTCCAACTTGAACCAAACGATGGTCTTCTTGAGCTGACAAAGTTGAGCAAGTCAAGCGAAAGCTACAGCATCAGAAAGGGTATGCTGTGGAAGCAGGAAGGGAGCTCAACAATCTGCAGGGACCACAGGCTCAGAAGGTCCAAACTGCTGCGTTTCCGCCTGGAGTTTCTTCTTCAGGCTACAGGCATTGGCTAGTCAAGTGGAGGGTCATATGTTCTCCCAAGCTACGAATGGGCCTGCATCAACAATGTACTCTCAGCCTTCTGACTTAAGAGTCTTGTGAATCACAAGCTCTAGGAAGGTACTGCATTGAACAGCAGAAGCCAAGCTGCGTGACTACGAGCGTCAAAATCAAAGCAGTGGACACTCTGCAGCGCTGCAAGGCATCCATGCGAAGAATGCTTCTGCATGAGGCCAACACACGGTCAATCAATCCGTCCCACGCAGCTCATCTGTGTGCTGCTGCAGACGCAGGATGTGACCTGGATCCGATGTGGGCATCTCACCCCCCCCCCCGGAATTCGGTCACAGCTCAAGGGCAAGTACACCGATGAGTCTGAGACTTTCCAGTTGGGAATGCAGAGCACTCACACCTTCGAATGATCATCATCATAGGGCATTCACGGCTCACGGAGCTACGCTGTCTGATAAAGACCGCAAAACATGCAAAAAGCCCTTGGCACGGATAGTGCCTGCTGAAGACGTCTTGCGCTGCTTCTGCAGGTTCTCGCGTAGCTGATGATTTTCCTTCAAGACCTCAGACGCTGAAACAAGCCAATACAAAGGCAGAAAGCCATCCAATGACATTCGCAGTTCATCGTTCACACGGAAAAATGCAAAAGAGCTTGTGCAGTCGAATGTGGTGGATCGGTAGATCTCGCTGTGTAGTGGTGTCATCTCTCATGCAGCTATAGCTGCCCTCGCTGTCTGAGCAATTCTCGACAGACTATTACCATTCGTCGCTGATTGGGGGTTGCGTATGTTTGCGGATGGTTTGAGCCCTGCATAGCCAGCAACAGGTTTTGTGCGTTTGCCCTTTCACATGCTGCACGCCTGTTTCTCTTCATGTCCGTGAACCGTAAGCTGTGCATGCTGTGCATGCTCGCCAGACGCTGCAGGTTGTCTCGACCTAACACATCTCCTTCATCCAGAACTGTTAGCTCTGTGCTTACTTTCCAAAGGTCATCACCTGCGAATCTCTAGTGAGACGCTTGGCTGTTCACTGCCACTCCTTTTGAAGGAGGACTTCTCGGAAATGCGGCTGCACCATCCCCCTCGCTTGAAGATGGAGGCGTTATGCCTTGTACCTGAACAACTGTCTGGCAGAAACCCCCCACCGCTGTGCCATCATTAGTGTTGATACGACCGGTAGAAAACAGACATTCACACAGCTCTTGATTCGACAAGCCAAGTCAAGCGTTGCGCATGGGCTGCCTCTTTGCACCGATTCCTCGGCTCTTCTGCATCTGGGCATGGTACCTGAAGTTGCGCAAACTTCTGTGACTGTTGTGACTGCAGGGCCATAAACATCTCAGTACCGATGCAGATCGGCAGTAGCGGCGGCGCATAAGCAGCCGAAGCAGAAACAGCAAAGACAGCCATGACGGCAGCACGAGCAACACCACACCACAACCATCGCAGCAGTGGCTGCAGCAGCAGCGGAAGCGGAGGTGGAAGAAGAAGCGGCAACAGCAACAAGTGTGGCAGGAGCAAGGGTCAGCACTAATCCACAAGTAGCCAAATTAGTTTGCTGCCGTCGCACTTCGAAGGAACCTGGTCGGTCAAGATGATTTAGGGTCCAATGTCGACGAGTGAAAGCAACAAAGCGGGTTCCACGAAACACAAATCGCCTCCCAGGCGAACACCATACCGTCGGCAGCACCAGTGAATAAATTTTTCCTGGCAACATGACACAATTCAAGGAGAGAATTCCCATATGTCATGGCAGGCATGGTTGTGTGAAGAATGAGGCTCGGTCTGATCGGGGGACCATGCCACATCGCGTATCCAAGCCTGTCCACATGGCATACGCCACACTGTCATGCAGACCAGCATGTTGAACCATGTTGAACCGGTGGCGCTGCCTCATGTGCTGTAAATTTCGCAAGGAGCAGGGGATTGAAAAGTGACCTGCGCCCAAAAATGGTTTGCCGGCTTTATTTGCTAAGCTCTAGCAAGCCAGGGCACTGGATTACAGAAATATGTCAGCGAACTGGACATAGCTTGGGCGGCATGTCTGAGAGGCAGGCGGGATCCAGACCCTCACAGAGCAGTCTTTGGACACGCTGGCTAGCAGCTGTCCGTCCCTGGAGCATGTCTTAGGGATGAGTCCATGCAGGCTGCCCAGACACATAACAGCGCCGTCGCAAAAACCCAGCCCATTAGAGTGTGCCAGCTTTGGACCAACTAAACGTCTGTCTTGAGCATGCAAACAACTTATTCCCAGTCCTCACGCTCTTCATGCTTCACGGCAACATTTCAGGGCTTCACGGGTTTTGGTATAGCCAAAGGCATCAATGGTCCATGGTTATTCTAACCCAGACTTGAATGACATTCAATCCGCATGTGAACAAGCAAACCAAGCAGGACCAAAAAGCCCAACGTGCGAACAGCCCCGGTCTTGAAGGGTGCTTTTAAGCATTGCCAGTGGCAACATGGAGTGATGATATGCGGGCCTTGTTGCCACGAAAGGCCGCCTTTCAGTTTGGACAGCTCTGAGACGCGGGCCCTGTGAATCTGACCCTCGAGATTCCACCTTGAGCTTGGATGACTTGTGTGTTGCTTGCATGGATAGCCTAGACAGCAGCTGGTCTTCAGACTTTCAGTCTACCGTCTACCAATCAGCGCACCCTCTCTTTGGTGGCATGCGTGTCATGCCTGTGCTCTACATTTTCCTCTTGGTAGCATTTGCAAGGGTCTGTGCATTGACCCACGTTGGGCAAAACATTGCTGAAGCAGCAGGTCAAATCTCGCACATGGAGGTGAAAGCCGCTGATGGCTGGAGCGTGCTCCATGTAAACCGATTGACAGAAGGAACTTGACAGGCAACTCAGCAATTTGAAAAATGCTTGAAGCAATTGAGGTAAACACTCTGAAATGACTTTGAAAGCAGTGGCGTCCATGCCATTTAATCCTTTGCAGCTCAGGCCGTGGCCCTCATGCCCTTTCAGCGTGAAATGCGCTAAATTGACACCCATGACCTGAAAAAGGGGGCGGTCAAAAGCATCTGCACAGCAATTGTGGACGGACCAGTGCCTTCTCTCTGCTCATGCGAGCAAGCTGAGAGCTTGGTTCGATCTGAGTTTCATGCTGTTTGCCTGACAACTCGGCGCTATGAATGGGAACTTCGGGCGGCACGTCTCGAAGATCCCACAGTCGGACTGTGTGGTCCTGCAGAATTCTGGGAAGCAGGGTGCAAGAGATGCTGAAGCTGAGCACTAGCGAAATTCAAGTCCTCACCACCAGTGGCAAGCAGCTCAGAGTTGGTTGGGCAAACCGCCACTGTTGTCACCTGTGAAATTTGCAGTGTGCCACGGCACGCTGCTCCCCAGAAACCCCTCTCCCCGAATAAGAAACATCGTGTCCCGCTCCCATGAAATTCACAAAACGGCTACATGCGTTTTATGACGGCCGGCGGGACCTGTACATTGGATGCAGATGTTACAATTGTGCTCCGTTGCACGACATTCTGAGCCAGATGCTGAGCCGATGTGGCCCATCAACCGGCAATCCAGGTTCCCGCTGTCTGCATCCCATACCTCTGTCAGCTTACATTGTGTTGGGAAGGTGTGTCCATGCGACGGTCTAACATGTCTCGAAGACATGAACTAAATGGCTTGAGGCCGTGAGCCAACTTTTCTTTGGAAGCGAGGCGCATAGATTTCAGATGCTGAGGTTAGCAGCACATGCAAAGCTCAAGCCAGCGCGGCTTGTCACAGCTATGTACATTCACAGGCACGAGCCATGCACGCGTGAAGCTTCCACACCAGCTTCCACCAGCATCCTGCGGCAGCACGGAGCACCCTGATGGGACTGCAAACAAGTTTGGCAATGTTGGCACCCCCACAAGACTCAGCCCGAAGCTAGTAGTTGAACTCGCTGGAGAAGATCTGCGCCTATTTGTTGATACCCAATTCTGGATTCGTTGGCCAGCCGCGATTTGCTCAGTGGCCAGCTATTTGCGTCATGGCCGGCATTCCCCAGATTTGCCTAGATAGAAGAAGAGACATGCAAACCTGGTTGAAAGGAGAATCGGCCAGCAAACGCCCTCTCTAAGACAGCTTTATAATGCTCTGTGTGCACACAAAGCTGGTGAGAGTACGGCTCGCATAAGAAGAACTGTACCAGGCCTTGACCATGGAAACAGGACTCCCTGCAAGGCAGGTGGCCTCTTGTCAGTCTCGAGTGCGCAAGCCATGCCACTGGTGCTCAGTCGCGTAGGCAAGAAGGAAACTACTTCGAACACAAGTATGATTAGCAGGATCGGCTTCACAGCAACTGCTTCTCCACATGTTTGTGAGCTTGCAGTTCGTGGTCTGATCTAGCTAGTCTGCGGGTCTTCCACATTTCCTGTGAGCTGGACTGGTAAATCAGTCTGCAAATCCAACCGGTCCAAGATCTTCCACAGATGGAACTCGCAAAATCTGTCAGGCCAGCATTCGGGAACTGAAGAGCTTCCCTGCCAAGTCCAGGGCTCACTACAGACACCTCCTTTTAAGCATGAACATCTCCCTTACAGGCCTAGCATGACCTAGCATTCATTCCTTCTGTTCATCTGCTGTCGTCAACATCTGACTTCTGTTGTCGTCAACATAGCCTTCCAGCTAAAGTCTTCTAAAGCATTCTTGGCGCCAGTAAGGCGAAAACAAAACGCACAAAGCGAGCGAAACACAACAAGCAGCCTTGAAAAGGCAGAGAGCAAAGCCGGGAAATCACCAGGCAAACACTGGGGAAAAAAAAAAAAAAAAAAAAA